TTTCGATTCTCCTAATTCTACACCTTCCCTTAGGGTAACTGAACTACGTATCTTCCATCATTTTGTCTATAGTGAGTACGCTTGAAATGTTCTTCACAGTATTTTTCTTCTTCACTCAAAGCATCCTCGATATTTTCAATGGATTCAACTTCCCAAAATCTTTGCAAATTTCTTCAACTCTTCTTCACTATTTAGAACTAAACCACATAATTTACTTCTGAGTCACTCTTGCATGCACCAGACGCGATATATCCAAAAACTGTTTCTTGAATATCAACGGTTGATTTCTAATTGAAATTTTCCTTGTTTTAAAATCTCAAAGAACAATTCGGCCCCTAGTAACATATCTATTTGTTAGGTGTTCCAAATTGCGGATCCGCTAATTCAATATCAATGGGAATATTTAATGACTTCACATCTAAACACCTTGATGGAGTTACATTGGTTATTTTTAGAAATAACTAAGCAATTAACTGATCTTACATATGTTTAAATCCTTATTCGAAATCTGTACATCTAGTTGATAATTAATATTTATAACGTTCTCATTAATTCCGGATACAGATGCATAAATTCTTTCCTTCTTTAAATTTAACAAATTAGCAACTCCTTCACACAGGAAACAACTCATGCTGCCGTTATCAAGTATTGCGCGAACTGGGATTCTTTTTCCTTCGGAATTGCAAATATATATTATTGCAGTCGCCAATAAGATGTTTTTTCTGCCGTGTCAAAAGACAACTTGATTGATTTTTATTAGAGACATCTGCGTTCTTGTTTATAATTTCATTTCTTGTTTATAATTTAATTTCGCTGTCACTTCCTGTTTTTGTTTTGTCTAATTTATGTTAGAATGGAGCCATTTCTGAGCAGGGCGATGTATTGATGAATGGTGTTTTTTATGGCATTCCGAACATCTGAACTTAGAATTGCATTTTGCGATTAAATGCTCGTTACTGAGACAGTTTAGACACAATTTATGGGTTTTAACTATTTCATATCTTTGATTTGGATTTAATTTCAAAAATGAATCACATTTATGCAGTGGATGATTATTATTTTTACATATAACACAAATCGAAACACCATCAGAGCCTTTGATTTCGAACTTTTTTCTAACGGATATTTCATTTTATTAATACTACGGTTAATGTTATCCAATAACTGACATCTTTTCTCTAAAAACGAAATTAATTCATCAAACGTAGGAACTTCCGTAGCATTAATGCTTAGTTCAAATTGTTTGCGCGTTTCGAAATCTAGTTTCTGAAGTACGATATTTAATAACAGAATATCCGATAAATTATTTTTCTCATATTTTAAAACATTCAAAGCCCTAACGTTTTTAGTAACATTATCTATTACATATCTTATTCCTTTAGACGATTCGAAATGTTAAAGTACGTAAATCCATTATTGACATTATATGCGTCTTCAATTAATATTCTTTTATTTTCATACCTATCTTGAAGAGCTTTAAATAGAGAATCGAAAGTATCATCAACAGTTTCAAGATTTTTTGCTTCATCAAGTTAATGCAGCCTTTAAATAGTAGAGTTTCTGAACTTTTCTGTTAATTGCGTGTTATTTCGCTATGATATGTTTTCGAATTGAAGCTTAAAATTATTCCATTCGGTATATTTACCAGAAAACTTAGGAATTGGTAATTCTGGCAAACGTACTTGTACTTTAGGATCAAATTTACTATAATCATTTTCATTTTCAGAATGTGCGACATAGATGATAGAATTTCCATAATTTCTTACCTCTAGAACTTCCGTTCTTTCTTCCATTTCGGCGATTTCTTCATCGATGATCTGTGACATCTTTTTCATCAACGCTTTCGAAATATCTAATCCTTCAAGTTTCTAATATCCATTTGAATGCTTTGTAGCGATCTATACTTTATTTGAATTTCATTCTTATTCGAACTATCATCATATTCCTTCACTACATTTTCTAACCTAGTTAGTTTCGCTTTTAACGAAGTTTTGTTTCTATCTAATGCCAGCATTTTGTTCACTTCTCCGGCTCTGCTGACCATGTACTATGACTCTAAACTAATATGTGGACTGTATAGCAAAAGAACTAAGTAATTTATTTACAGTAATTAACTATTCAAATCTAATACATGCTCTGGCATGTTGCTTAGCCGAATCCAGATGGCCAAGTGAGAGTTTCTCTCCCTATCCAATAGGTGGCGCTATATTCTAACTTAACAGACAGCTCTCGAATTGATTTGAATGACGTTTTTTTTTTGCGTGACATCTGTACGTACGGACAGAATAAAGGAATCTTTTTCCTAAAATGGATTGTAAAATGGATCTAAAATGAAGGAAGAAGATATTTTTTTCGTGGCGCCTTCTCTTTAACATGACGTCTGTACGTACGAACGTACCTCTCATAGCTCAAAAACTAGTAGCCTCGAAACGCTGAAATTTTGTACGTGAGACTGCCATTACATGCAGCTGTATATCTTCCTTTTTGGTTGCAATCGGTCACACCAAACTTATATATTTATATACCTACTCTATTACCCAGCTCGGTGAACTCAGTTTTTTATTCTTATATGTTGGTAAATTGGGCATTTTTTATACTTTAAAAGTAATTGAAATATGTTCTTACGTTCTGGTTAAGGTTTTTATGCCTTTAGTTAATCTGCATGCAATACTTGTAGAACTATCTACAGTTAAAAATTTATGTTGCGCTAGGGCTAGCGGGGACGTTATTTGTTTACATTTGAAACTTAAATTGATTGAATGAGAAATAGATCTCTAATAAAATTCCAGGAATTAAGTTTAACTTAAATGCAGCAAAAAATGTGTATAATTTAATAGGCCATACAAGGAAATCATGTTTTGTCCACATGTGATATTTTTTCTGAGTTTACGTTATTATATTAATTTACCAAAATAAAACATACGAAGGCTTATGGAAGCGGTGACTTGTTATGCAAAACTAGGTCATATTTTTATTACATATGAAGAAATTCATAAAACACTAATATAATTAGCCTCTTTCGCCAGGATTTGAACCCAGATGGAATTATCAGCAATCTAGATTTTTGCTCGTTTTAAATAATAAATTTTTTTTATAAAAAATATGTTTAACGTAATCATTAATAATAGATGCTCATAACTATATATCATTAGCAGATGCTTCTACTGTTAAAGAGAAGAAAATTTCTAAAATAAAATTCTAAGGCCAAATTTGCTATATAAAAGTAATTGAAAATTTGAAAATATTCAATTTTTACAATATAACGTAATGCAAGTTAGTTATTTTAAATCAAGAAAATAACGTAATGCATAAGAAAATTTTCAAAAAGCTGCTAGAAAGCGGAAACATAAAAAAAAAAAAAAAGAAATTTAAAAACCAAAATATACAATAATTATTTTAAAAAATTTACTTACTTGAGTACGACATTTTATTCCATCAAAATATCCAAGATCAAAACCAAGGATTAGTTTGCAGAATGTTAAAATATTATCAATAAAACGCATCTGTTTAAATCTCAATAATAATTTTGTTTTCAGAAACTACGAGAAGAATTATTTCCATGAAAAATAACCTTTAACCACGTAACACCAAAATGCATTACAAATTTTCGACGGAAAGGTAAAAGATTTATTACTTTCATTAAAGTATTTAAGGATTGGAAAATAAATACAGCGATAATGGCTTGTATTTAATACAAAATTACAACTAAGACAGAAGTATAGTCCAATTCGATCGATAAATTTAATCAGAACATTTTCGCTAAGCTTTCTCAAAATTCCCCTTTTCAAATTCTTTTCTACTTAAGATTACTTTTAAGTAAGGTTTTCACTGAAGATAATTAACAGTACTAAAAATGCTTCTCGGCAATTTCTAACACAAATAATGACAAGCTCCAGCTAACTGCATTGACTAAGGAAACAATTTTTCTCTATCAATTTACTTCGGTCAGAAAGTTTAATACAATGCTAGTTGTTTATGATATATTTTGTATAGAGTGCAATGATTGATTATATTATACATAAGATAAAAGGTGTTAACACCTACAAATGTTTTCAATTACACTCACTACTTCAATTTGAAATTCATGTCATTCGCGTCAGATACTCAATAAACTATAATAATATAAAATAGTAAATGTAGTATGAACAAGTTAATTTCCTTTGCTTATATTTTTTATTGATCCTAAAACATGAAACTGTCATTTATCAAGTCTGAAACTTTTAACTAAAACAAGCTTTATTTGTGACAAAAGCGTAATTTTGCTGAGAATCTTTTCACTTGAATTAAAACGCTATCCAGAGCAAAACTTAGATTAATATTTATTTACCTAGCAGACATTTAATTATGTGTCGACTGTGCTTAATTTTTATCACGTCATCCCTTCTATAGTGGAAAGTTACAGTGCTTTTTTGACTAGGAGATTTTCTTAAGCTTGAAAGAAAGAGATTATGTACGTCACGTGAGTTATTGCATGAAGAAAAAAATCCGTTTCAGTTTTCATGTCCTGTTTATTTAATCATATACTTTATTTATCCAGTAACGCCAGACTTGAATTACAAAATGTCGCTCTGTCTTGAATTTACAGTGGATTTGTTTATAATGCAGAATGCGAACAAGACCATCGAAAATCCGAACTTTATTTTAAATTCCTAAATATATTTATCGACTTATATGATTTCTATATAAGTTTAGTATATTTCAAAGAGATAGTTTTGAATGATTTATATCAATCTCTCCAATTGAAACCAGAAAATGGGGTCTATTATTGAGGCAATATATTCAAAGGAAATTTAAGCTGTAAATCAGAATTCAAGAACATACCCTGAACAAACAGAGCTTTCAAGAAGAAGATTTCTCACTTAATGTTTTTGAAGTATATTGTAAGATTGCATAGAATAAAATGAAACTGAAAGCCAAAACGATTTTCTTACGGAATATACAAAAACGAATCACAGAGGATGCTAATGAACAAGGATCCATTTTCAGATAACTGAAGTATCATGAATAGACCAGCTGAGTACTCAAATGATTCTACACTCGTCAAAGAACAAAACAGACGGAAAAATATGAATTCAAATGTGCAAGCAAATAGAAATTATAATAAAATTAATCAAGAAGATAAATTCATTTCTAAAGATGAAGGGAGGATATTCATTCTGGGAAATACTCCTCCCATCAGAATGAAAAGTTATAGTTTGGATGAAGTTCAGGGCATATCTTCTCTAAGAAGGTATGTTAGATCTTCAAGAAAAGAGAAAAATTTAAGCGTTTATTATAATAGGAATACAGGACGCAATTCGGAAACATTTTATTCTCGAAACGATGCTTGGAACTTGACTGATTATGATCGTTATTCCAATGAAGAGAGTTTAACGCTTAAAGGAGTTACAACAATATTACTGAAGAAATCATCAGTTTATGCTTTGAATCAGATTGGAAATTCCAAGACATGGACTCGTAAATTATTTTGGAGTTTTATTATGATGGTAGGCCTTTTTGGCTGTGGTTCACAAATATTTCGCTACTTGAATGCCTTTTTCAAATATCCAGTCGTGGTAAATATTGACTCGCTTAGTGAATTTAGCCAAGTATTCCCTGGTGTCACTCTATGCAATTTTAATACTGTGAGGAAATCGTATATTCCTTGCTTGATCAAACAACTTAATTACGAAGATTGCAACGTAACAACATTTACTAACGAATCTTATGACGAAATTACATACAATTTTAGTCAACCAAGCTGTTTCGGAGAAGACAGTAAGCAGTTGAATCCAGAGGATTTAGAATCAGCAGCATTTTATGCTTTGTACTCAAGATTGAATGAAGCTACTCGCCAGCATTACGGTCATCAAGCAGAAACATTTATACGATCCTGTTCTTTTATGACAGAAACTTGTTCTTATAAAGATTTCAGTTTATATCTGCATCCATTTTATGGAAATTGCTTCACATTTAACAGTGCTAATCAAACCAAGCCTTCTCTGAATACGTCTTTTATAGGACCCAACGGAGCATTAGATTTAGAAATGGATTTAGAAACCGAGGAATACTTTAGAATAACGAAAGCCGAAGGGGCCCGAATTTTTATTCATGATCCTTATCATGGACCAAATCCTGAGAAAGATGGTCTATACATCAGTCCAGGATTTCAAACAGCTATAGGTGTATCACTGGTTTCATTTCATAGGTTACGCCATCCTTACAAAGATCAGTGTGCTTCTTATCAGCCAGGTGATAATCAGCAGAAGTGCTTGATAAATTGCGTTAACAAAATTGTATATTCATTTTGTTCTTGTGAACTACCATCTCAAAGTTATGTTGATGGCAACAGAGTATGCGATTTAACAAATGGCACAGAAATATGTTGCATGTTTCAGAGTCTTGCCACATCTGAAATAAAATGCCACTGCCCGTTAGAATGCGAAGAATCCACCTATGAAACAAAAATATCAAGCGCTGTATGGCCATCTACAGCTTATACTGCTGCACTACTGAGAAAAGAAATAAGGAAATCAAGTAGTGCACATTGGAAATCAATAACAGTAGAAAATCTCCGAAAATCAAGACTCAAATTAAGTATTTATTACGATACGCTGCAGCATTTAATTTATCGACAGAGGCCAATGTTCGATGATTCTGAAGTTCTGAGCCAGATAGGAGGCCAGATGGGACTGTGGCTCGGTCTATCATTAGTTGCTATTTTTGAGTGTGTGGAAAATTTAGTTTTAATATGGCGATTTCACAATAAGAGAAGAATTTGATTTAAGAACTTTTAGAATATCAGTAAACACTTTAGGACTAAATAACTTTAGTAGTTAGGTTAAATTAGTAGCATTTTTATGTTGAAGCATCATAATTTAATATCAGTTCGAAACTGCACATTATTTACATGTTACGCCTTTTTGAATTCAGATCCCTGGGGGAAAAACATCTATTATTTTAAGCTATCCCTCCCTCTTTAGTCCCGAATTTCGTTGCGAAAGGTAAGAAAGAATTCAGTTAAAGTTAATATTATTATTAAGTAAATGGTGTTACTTACCTGAAGATTTTCTTTTTAACTATTGTCATTAGCCATTTTTAGAACTGGTTTATTCTACAACTGAAGATCAGTGATCAACAGTAATTTAGTTCGAATCGAATATGCAATAAACTAATTACATTGTAATTAACATTAGGTAGCATAAGATGTACTTAGATCAGTGATCTGCAGTAATTTAGTTCGAATCAAATAATCAGTAAACTAATTAGCTTGTACTTAACGTTAGATAACCTTTCTACGCGTAATTTACACGAGGGCAAACTGTAAATTCAAGTTAGTGTTTATGAAATCAATATATTTACCTGAAACGTTTTGTAGCATGTGGCAATGTAACGCAGACAAGTTCCAGAAAGAAATGTAAATTTCAGTTTACAAGAAATATGCATTGCAAAACTGTTACACTATGTTATTAAAAGGTTTCAGATTTTAATAGTCGCCCAACAGGGTTTGTTAAGGATTTTTTGCTCTCGCTGACCTAACAGTCTACAAGTGTGCTGTTACACTCTCTCTTACTAACGCTTTTTCTGTGACATTTTAGCTTTATTATTAAGCATAATTTTCTTCGTAATTATGCCATATACAATTCAACAGCAAAATTGCAAAAACTTTAACAGCAGCATAGTAGTATATGTTTAGAGCTCCCGATGCATAGTTAATTGATGACATTATTTTTTCTGTTCTTTTAATTCTTTTCTCAGTTCATCATATCAGTGTTTACGAAGATGGCTTTATAAAACTTTTTTTTGTCTTTTTATTTATCATTGTTCAGTTAAAATCATAATTTGGCAATTGCTACTTTTATAGAATCAAATATTTTGTCTTGCCCAACTTATTGCCGTGATTAAATTCTCCTAAGTAGGAGTCGAAGTATTGAAGAAGTTTTCCTTTTTATAATTTGTTTTATGATCTAACCACACCTCACAGCCAATCGATTTTTCTAAATTTTGGATCTCAAAAGTTGCGTTTATCATTCTCTATAAAATGTTGAAAATCATCCTTTTCTAAGTCCTCGTTCTGTTAAATATGCCAGCTGTCTAAATCCACTGTGCTTATTTTGTATACGATATTTTAATATCTATGTTTGAGTTTTGCCGCCTCTGATAGTATTTGCACAAGGAACCACTCATTTGTCTCGCTGCAGATTTTTCCAAAAATCTACCCATATTACTCTTTCGTTTGACAAATAGTCTTTTATCAGGTTCGATGATTTTCCCAAATCCGATTAATGTGTATAATATTGTACAACCTTGGGGTATGTTCCTTCAAAAAAAAAAAAAAAAAAAAAAGGTTTAAAAATGCATGATCCTACATGAAAGTAATTTATAATACGCATATTAACATGCATTCAAATTATAATATCAGCTGTGGAGATAAAGCATAATTAGACTGAATAACCAAGAAGTTTTATAAAGACAACTATTCCCTATCTCAAAAAGATTGCCCTTCAGTTTACGATTTGAAATCGTATGGGCTTTATGAGTGTTTTTATCGTTTTTCTTATATGTAAATTGTATACGATCAAACTTTTCTTAGAAAGTCCTCGGTGATGTCATTCTTCACCTTAGGCAGGCCCTAGCGAGCTTTACTAAAATGAAATAAAATTAAAACGAACGGCTTTATTTTCCACAGATCCATTTTATAAAATGACTACTGCAGTTTTTAAATGACTACTGCAGTTTGATTAAAATGACTACTGCAGTTTGACTACTGCAGGATACAAAAAATAGCTTCTTTGTATGGGATCGCTTATGTGAATTATCATTTTTGGCCATAAATGATGAAACATTAAGGCTCTGATTTCGAATTATTGATAAATAACAATAGTTTAAGAGTAGGAGCATCATCCTGTATCCTAAATTAAGATATTTTGCTTATGCAATGCAGTATAAAAATTACGAAACAAAAATATGACAAAAATATTTTCACGCAACTTATGCACATTCTTTTCATATTTTAAATAAGTTATACTAATAAAAATTATAATTTTTATGTACTCTTCATGAGCAACTTACACCCATTGCGTCAGTTATAACTCTATCTCGATACTAATCGGATCTGCCTTATTACTGATATACTCCAAATACAGTTCTTGGTGCAAAACAGCAGGGAATATCTGTAGATACAGTTCATAGAATTTCCAATATTGGATTTGTGTTTTATTGAATATCTTCATAACAATTAACATTTTTATTTCTTATAAAGCGACTCATTTTTATATTTTATATATTCTGTTTATATATATACTCACTCATAAAATTTAAACTAATATTACACTAAAACCATCATTAGATTTATGTTACTTCTGTTAAAAGGAATGCTTTTTCTTGATAAAAAAGAATGATTACAAAACTATCTGCCTCAAAATGCATTAAATTTTGGATAAAACTAATCTCAGTCTGGGACTAATATTTTGCTTAATTTGATTTTAACATGTTTTTCTAAAATATTTTCGGGCACACCAGCGGCCGAGCGGTAAAGTCGCTGAACACTGGTAGTTCGGTCCGAGGTTCGAATCTCGCGAACGGGCTGGCTGCTTGAGCGTTTTTGTGGTTTTCCCAATGTGTAACGTGTATGCGAGCCAGTTACCCTTAAAACGTCCTCCACGAAGGCATCCCTCCCCTTAGGCAGATAGCCCTAGTATGCTTTGCCATAATTAAATAAACCAAACGAAATCTAAAATATTTTCAAATAAACTGGCTTAAATTTCATTATTAATTTAAATGTTGAAATTTTCCCACTTTCTTAATTGAAAAGAAACTGATGATATATTATTATTAGTCCAAAGAGCGTTAGCCCTTCTGGACTAATTTCGTTTTGGAATTTTGCGTCGAAAACTTTAAATGTCCGTTTCAGTTTTCAAATTGTTGCCGCCAAATATCATCGCCTTGTTTTATATTTAAAGAAATTAAATTATGAAGAATCTGCATAAATGAATAAATGTTTCTCACATTGTGATAAAACAGTGGTACCTAGAGCTATCAAATTTTGAATAACGTAATCCTCCACCGAATATGGGCATCTGTAAGCCGAATTTGGAATTTATTTTATTGTCTATTTCATATTTTGTAACGCTTTAAAGAATTTTTGATTAACAAACCCAAAGATTTCAAAGCGAGCACTGAATGGGAAAAAAAAAATATTTCCAGCGCGCGAGACTGTGTATCGGAAGTTCTAAACAGTTGTTCATTTAAACATTATTTTGCGATATTGTTATTGAACTTAATTTTATGGTTTACGTGCGAGGAACATGATATTTAATAAACAAAGATAACACACAAGACGTTGAAAAAATGGCCCTTTGGGTGTGATGCAAAATGTGGAAGTTTTCAGATTTTCTTTTTTCATTTATTAAATTATTTCCATCATTCGAAAGACTACAACATATCTATTTTCAGGATCTTTTTATTAGCTTGTTAGAGATTTCAAATCATGATACTCATTTATTTACTTATCTTTTGCGCAAATGTATCTCAGATTATAAAAATAGCTATGCTATAATTGATCAGAATTGCAATACTTTCTCCTTATAAACTGGATTTAATGTTCTTAAATATGTGTCATGATATTTCCAAGCTTCATTTATAACTAATTAAGTAGATTTGGCATTAATTTTCATTTGGAGTTTCAGAGAAAAGTTATTATATACCTTGAAGAGATTTATTGTTTTAATAAGGGGGATTCAATGTTCTAGCAAAATAAAGCGCATTGCTTTTTGAAGGGAATAGTGTTTATTGCAAATTGGTGTTGGTGTTGTAACGTCACACCCGTGTCGGGTGAAACACGGGTCGGTTGTAACGTCACACCCGTGTCGGGTGAAAGAAAGACAGGTTGTCTTTTAAATTATTTATTTGATAAACTAAAATAGATTTCTTGATTAAAACATAAAAATAATCTGATCATTACAGCCCTAAATCATACAATATCCGCTAACGCAGATTGGACGCAAAAAAGCGTCCTTTTTACTGTAGTTACAGCATAAAAAAAACTATTGTTCTACAGAAACCACTGGCGTGGTTTAGAACGTAAAAGATGCGTCCTGTCACCTCAAAATCACATGAAGAACTCTCACACAAAGATTTTACTCGTTTTGTTATCTGCGAAGAGAAACATAATTAGTTCCTTGTGTCCGGAAACTCCCAGGGGGTTTTATCTGCAGTCCTGCTTTTGCAGGTATGGTCCATTTCGTCCGCGAACAAACAGGAAGTTATACTTCAGCACCTGTGTCAGCGGGGGGGGGGGTTTTCAGAACTCCAATTCACGGTAGCTACCACAGCAAGTTTTCAAAGTAAACTAATTAGCAGTTATTAGCATTAATACATTTTACAACAACACTGGGCTAAGTACCAAGGATAAACATAACAAGAACTATATTGAGGCCAGTAAAAAAAACAAACATATAATCAACATAATACTGAGAAATGAACTTAATTATACACATACAAATAAAGAACGTATAATTTTCTGAAAAATGTAATATACAATATACAGTCCTAAGTTTAATATTAATTATATATCTAGCCAGGCTGAAAAGGGAAACCTTGCAGATTTTTAATTTTCCGTTTGTGATAAACTCTCAATGGTAACCCAACACCTGGATGAGAACTACTGCATTTGACCTCAAAATAAACATGTACATTTAATTTGGCTTTAATAAGGGGCTCCAATTTTCCAGAGTCATCATAAAAAACCACTTCATTACAAGTTGGATTTACCTCATTCATG